GGATAAAATGCTAACTTACGAGTACTAGATCGCACTAGGCGGACGGGTTATTTTGGGTTAGTTTGAGCAAGTCTGTATTTGCTTTATTATTATTGGTTCAAATTGATGTCGCAATACAGACTTACTCAAATTAACCCAAAATAACCCGTCCACCTATACATTATTTTTTTCCAAGATAGATTTTGACATTGTCAACTTTGAAACATAAGCAATGCCGCTAATGCCACTTATTGGCCGCTATTGTAAAACTGATGTCAACCTGCAGAAACACCTCATTTTGCGACCAATCAGGGTCAAGCGTTATTGTTTATGTTTCAAAGTTTTCAATGTCAAAATCTATCTTGGGAAAAAATAAAGTATAGGTAGTACGATCTAGTCCTCGTAAGCATTTTATTTAAAAAAAACAAAATTAATTCACTGATTGCTCATGATCTCTTGAGAGCGCAGTGCTTTTTAAATAAAATGCTAACTCACGAGGACGAGATTGCCCTAGACGGACGGGTTAGTTTGGGTTAGTTTGAGTAAGTCTACATTATTTTGATTAATATTGGAACAATTTGATGTTTCCCTCTTTTGCTTAGAGGTCGTCGTTGTAAATGTCGCTCTTTTAATTTGTCACTGTTCTAAATCTCGTTCCTTACATATGTCGCTCTTTTGATATGTTGCTGTTTTTTTTAGATGTCGCTATTTTGAATATCGCTGTTCCAAATGTCGCTATTTTGATATATGGCTTTAACAATATGTCGCCTTTTTGATGTTGCTATTTTAAATATAGTTCTTTTGAACCGGAGCCACCGAAAATATCTTTTTTTTGGAAAACGATCTTCAGTTCTCGTAGATAATAAGGCACTTCGCGTTCTTGGCCAATCGCGCTTTATCCAGTCGCGTTTTTGTTCCATCGCGCTTTTGTCCCCTCGCGCTTTGTCGCTCGCGCTTTTGTTTCTAGCGGTTTTATCCAGTCGCGTTTTTGTGCAATCGTGCGCTTTTGTCCCTCGCGCTTTTGTTCCTCGCGCTTCTATCCAGTCGCGTTTTTGTCCATCGCGCTTTTGTCCTGTCGCGTTTTTGTTCCGTGCTTTTGTCCCTCGCGCTTTTCGTATCGCGCTTTTCTCCCTCGCGCAAACGGTTGTCACGCAAATGACACAGACCCCATGCATAAACTGGCATTCTTTAATTGTTGATTTCAACCAATCAGATTGCGATTACGTGATAATTTGTACTAGTGCAGCATTATCGGATTGGATAATTGCTCACTAACGGGTGGCATTTGAAATTTTTTCTGATTGATGACATTTTATACTTACGAGGATATACTAAAAATTTAAATTTTTGATTCATGAAATTCTCTCATAAAATACAACTCGAGCAATGGAAATATATCTATAATTTTTGACAAATTTGCTCTCATGCATTTTTAACTGGAAAAGGCACTCGTCCCTCGTGCTTTTTTTCAACTAAAAATGCATTCGGGAAAATTTGCCAAAAATTATCGATAATTTCCATTTTATCCCAATTTAATTTTATTTTATTTTCTGTGAGCACACGATATTTCTCTTTTTGATTTTTAAAACCTATAAGGCCTCCTCCAATAGAGTTTTCCTAAACTAAAGAAAAGAAAACTGAAAAACTATTCTCAAAAAATTTAGAAATTAATATTTGTTCCAACAAATGTTGAGTTTCATTAATTAAAATATACAGGGTGCATAAAAATTAAGGGTGGGAGATCATTTATAACGGAACACCCTTTTACTTACCTTATTTTATACTGCCCTTCGTTTTTTGTGATGATGTCGGTCTAACTTAACGGCAAGCTTGCGAAACACAAGTTTTTTTCAAACACGATTTTTTCATGGAGTAAAAGAGCAGCAAATTTTTGGGTTTTCACATTTAATTATTGGCAAAAAGCGGCAAATTTTCACAGTTTTTCTCTACCACTCAATTTTTCTCTACCGTCATTTTTGATGATACTGTTTTGCTCACTTGATGTCCACTTAGCGAAACACATCATATTTTTTTCAAACGCGATATTTTCCACTCACTTAATTTATCACTACCGACATTTTTAGTGATCTCGCTAACTTTACGTTAAATTAGCAAAACATTATTTTATTTTCGAACACTATTTTCTTATGAAAAGAAAGGTAGCGGCAAATTTTTAGTTTTCACATCTAATTAGCGGCAGAAAAACGGCAAATTTCCATTCACTCAACTTATCACTACCGACATTTTTAATGATAATCAGGCCTATGATGTATCATTTTCTGTTATTTTAACAGCAACGTTAAGTTATCTGTCACTGTTTATTCTACACGTAAAAATAGAGACAGGTATAAGTTTTGAGCTATAACACAACTGGTAAAATAACAGGAGAGGATACATCATAGGCCTAATTGTCTCACTAACTTGACGTCAAGTTAGCGAAACCCATGATTTTTTTTTCAAACTTGATTTTTTGTAAAAAAAAGAAGCGGCAAATTTTTGGTTTTCACAACTAATTAGCGGCAAAAAAACGGCAAATTTCTATTCATTCAATTTTTCACTACCGACATTTTTAGTGATAATGTCTCGCTAACTCGACGTCAAGTTAGCGAAACAAATGATTTTTTTTTTCAAACTTGATTTTTTATGGAAAAAAAAGAACCGGCAAATTTTTGGTTTACACAACTAATTAGCGGCAAAAAAACGGCAAATTTTCATCTGCCTAATTTTTTACTGCTGACATATTTAGTGATGTTGTCTCGCTATCTTGACGTCAAATTAGCAAAACACGTAATTAAGAAAAAACTAAAAGAGCGGCAAATTTTTTAATTCCACATTTAATTAGCGGCAAAAAAGCGGCAAATTCTTGGCATAACGGAAAATCGATTTTCCAAAGTTGTCTCGCTAAGTTGATAGACATGATAATTTGCACTAGTGCAAATTATCAGATAATTGCATACTAACTGGTGCGAAAACTGGTGTTTTGAGATTTTTTGACAAAAAATTTAAATTTTTGATTTATGAAATTCTCTCATTAAATACAACTTGTGCAATGGAAATATATTTATAATTTTCGACAAATTTGCACTCATGCGTTTTTAACTGAAAAAGGCACTCGTGCACTAAATGCATTCGGGCAAATTTCCTAAAAATTATCAATAATTTCCATTGCACTAGTTATATTACTATTGATAATAAACGTCTTTATTAAATGGATACATTATACAGTGTTCGAATGTTAATATAGGTACACACCAGGAAACGCAGGTGGCGAAGTTCAACCTGTGGCTATTCTTCCACTTAACCAACTGCGTCCTATTCCGTGCTCACAAACCATACATTAATATTTTTCATTCATAAAAGATTTAACAATAGTTAGAAATTATGTAAAAGATATCTCCTATAATCCATTCTAAATTTATTGTCACTAACATCTCTGATAGGAACAGTGAGTGTATTAATTGTCTTGGCTATACAGTATGAAAAAAAAAAAAATTGAAGTAATGAGCTCAGGTATTGACAAAAGACCAGCATGTCCTATAATTGAAGATGTATCTATTTGCGTACAGAAGCTTCATCTTAACATAGCTCTTCTGTAATAAGGTCTGCACATGCTTTTCAAATTTTAATCTAACATATAAGTGCAGACCTAAGTTTCTGGCACAGTCAGAAAATTGAAGTATATTGTCATCGATTACTACTTTTAAATGGTCAGTGAGTGAAACCCTCCGATTGTTTGAGCAAAATAAAAGAAGTTCTGTTTTTTTGTGTCCATGAAGAAAAGAAGCTGCGTGTTGCGTGTTTGCACTATGAGGTTTCTTGAAATATGTCGACGAGTGATAATAAGGTTGTACGAAAGCTATTACGTACCGAGAACATAAATATTGAATTAGATTATGGTGATGAGACACTCTGGCTGGGTCCATGAACGAAGAGAGAACTGCAAAGGGTGAATTTCATACTTTTTTCTCCAGTTCTGGCAACATCCTGATAAATTTTTTGAATAGTATAGTATGACCATTGAAACCTTTGACTTAATATGGAATAGACATTTTAAATTGTTTTAAATGCCTAAATGAAAGAAAACTAGGCATAAATCGTCAAAGAACGCACGCTAAACGCGCTCAAAAAACAAACTGATTTGTTTTCATTTGCGATATAAATTCTTTTTCGTCTATCGCTTAAGAAGCGCAAAACGCAAGAAGCGTCTTGTCGGGCCACTCGCTATATATTACATTATTTTAATTCTCGTAGCAAAAGACGTTCCAAACACTTTAGTTGCCAAGCGCGTTTATGACGCTTTGAACGCGTTCTGTGTGGCCGTACACTTAGGTACATATAGTATTTGTAGTACCCATTTAGAATAACCCCATCCTTATTTATCAATCACGAATCAGATGAAACAAAAAATTACCAACAAAAACGAACGTCGATTGCTAATACCTCAATTTCATGTATAAATAGGAAATTCCTAACCTGATTTTATTTGTGTGTCAAGAAGCGACATACGTTTTGTCACTAGAACGACTGGTACTTCTAAATAGGTATTAAAAATACTATACCTACTTTGGTCCATCAGTATTTCAAATTTCAGTAGGAATGAAATTCTATATGACATTCAAAAATTTCTTCTATAACTTTTTCTAAAATAAGTTTTGTGATACAAGCGGCATAAAAATGAAACAAGTACAAAATGTTCATTGCTTGAAAATTCTTGACTTCTTAAGCGAAACAAATTCAATTCAACAGAGATAATAATTAAAAATATTACTAAAACTTAGTAGTATGAATAAAGTGTAGGAAATGCTTTTACTCTACCTCTGTCTCTTTTTTTTGTATTAAAGCTGAATATGTTTTATCTCAAGAAACTCAAGTTGAAGCATTTGCTTCTGTTTTATTCATATAAGTACCTATAAGTACATACATGCTTATAGATTATATTCTATATTTGCTATGTTTCAGAAAAAAAAATACATACAACTTCATTTTAATCCATTACCTATTTGTTTTAATTCAATTTTTAGATATTGGAGCAAATCTTACCGATCCTATGTATCAGGGAATTTATAATGGCTCGAAAAAACACGAATCAGATTTGAGTAGCGTTTTGAAGAGAAGTTGGGATTCCGGGCTGGTAAAACTGATTATAACTGGAGGAAATTTTGAGGAGAGCAAAAAGGCCATCGAATTAGCAAATACAGATGGTATGTATGTACCTATAACCTATAACATATAGTGACAATTCAAAAACTTGGAATGGCATATAACTTTTGAAACTCTTGAGTGATCATTATCTATTTTTTCTCTGGAAGAAGCCTCGCTTCCTTGAAATAATTTTTTTCGCAGTGTTTTGATTAACGATAGATTTTATGTGACCCCCACTGAGTAGTGCTCCGTCTGGTTTGGTTGTAGATGTGTAGTAAAGTCCTTGTTAGACAATACATTTCCCATTTCATCTTTTTCTCTTATCCGATTATCAAAGTCCTGATAATTCTAGAAGTTTGAAGATAATATAACAGGCCAACGATAGGATCCTCCAAATATGTCAGCCCACATTGACATTAATTGTTTTGGTAGGACCTTTTATAACTGAGTCGGTTCTCATCACTATTATAATGACACTTTCGCCACATTCATTTGAACAATAAATCCATTAATCCCTGGACTTTTTTTTTTCAAAAACAATAATTCTCCAGGTTACTTACTGACAACAAGTACTTGAAGAATTTCAACTTTTTGCAAAGCAAACTTTTGTGAAAAGAATAAAAATGCTATGGTATCAAATGATACCATTAGAAATTATTATCTATTACAAATTACAAGTAGGGGATTGCCATTTGAGATTATTTTCATGTGGTTGCCTGACGGAAGTTTAATCAGTTATTCCACATGATGTTAGACTTTGATTTTGGTTCCCCTTCGATAATGCCCATTGCAAGTTTTTATTATCGATGCAAATATATTATTATCTTTACCTATATTCAAAAATAAAATTTCTTTCAAAAAATATAGTTTCCAATACATATTCTGAATGATTGTTTTATAATACAGATAAACTATATGCTACTGTTGGGTGCCATCCAACAAGATGCTCAGAGTTTGAACAAGACGGAAATAATCCTGACGAGTATTTGAATAATTTAGGAAATCTAGTGAAAGAAAATGCAAGCAAAGTTGTCGCTCTTGGCGAATGTGGCTTGGACTATGACCGATTACAGTTTTGTACTAAGGAATTACAAAAAAAGTAGATAAATTAGCCGTAAACTTTTACCAGTTACAGAGAATTTATTTTAGATACTTTGAACTACAACTGAAACTAAACGAATCTTTAAATTTGCCATTATTTTTGCACTGTCGTAATTCAGCTGATGATCTTTACGATATATTATCCAAGTACAAATTTCAAGGGGTAGTTCATTCCTTTGATGGGACAATTGAAGAAGCTCGAAAATTTCTTGATTTGGGATATTATATTGGTCTTAATGGCTGGTGAGTACTAATGACCCAATATTTTCTTCCTTTCTAAATGTTAACAGGTCAATATTGCCATTTGATTGGCATTTAAGAATATAATATTGTATTTTTTTCAGTTCACTAAAAACTCAAGACAATTTGGACACAGTGAAAGAACTCCCAAGTGACAAGTTATTAATTGAGACGGATTGTCCCTGGTGTGACATTAGACCAACTCATGCTGGCTTTAAGTTTATTTCCAAAGAAAATAAAAGTTTTCCATCTGTCAAAAAAGAAAAGTGGAAGGCTAACCATCTGGTGAAGAGCCGCAATGAACCATTAAATATAAGGTGAATATTTGACAAATTACTTCTGGTTAACTATACTGTGTGTTGCCTGGGTGGTTGGAAAACAAGGGTCCTAAATCTCAGACGAGATAAGTTTTGATAAAGGGAAGTGTCGTTATTTATTTATCAAGAAAGTGTTGTGCGATTCCATTGTCCTATCGCACTTCAACTACTGCGATGTACTGTACGGCCCCTTTCTGCTGGTTTCGGATGTCAGAAGAATTCAGCTCATGCAGAATTCGTGTGTCAGGTTGATAGGTGGTATTAGGGGCTGTGAGAGGGGTGTGAGTGCCAAGCTATGCAAAATTAAATGGCTAAGAATGAATGAAAGACCCGCATTGCATAGTTTGGTTCTGTTCAACAAATTGGTTTGTAAAAGATGTCTTGATTATCTGTATGATAAAATTAAGTTTCAGTATGATGCACATAACTTGGAACTCAGACACAAATTTACAATAACTCCTCCCACGCATGCTACATCCATGTATGAGAGATCATTTAGCTACCAAATATCAAACACGTACAATAAAATCTTTGCTGATTACAAAGCCTCTGATTACAAGTTTAAGCAATTTGTCAAGCAAAATATTAAAGTTCTTGTCTGAGCTCACACCGTCACACTAATTGTCTCTCCGGCCTGTATATATGTGTTTAACTTTTGAATTGTCCATCTCCCTTATACCTCGACTTATACTTTATGCTTTTCACTTTTTTATATTCTCTATATTATTGTATTTTTATATTTTTTCTTTGTACTAGCACCCGTGCTATATAGTCTAATGACTGTCATTGCATTGACATATTCATTCGATTAATATTCTGTATCCCGTTATGTCATATCTATACTCTGTTTGAGATAGGAAGCTGTGCTTAAATTCCGCCATTTCTGATTCTTGAATATTTGCTAAATATTTTGTGCCTGTTACTTGTAAACTCTTGAATTACAATAAAGCAATTTATTATTATTATCATTATGGGAAGTTATTCTAAAACTTCCCATCGCAAATAACAAATGAAGTATCAGCTAACCGGCTATTAAAACTTAAAAGGGCTTCAGAGAGAACTTTAGAAATTCTCTGTTAACTTGTTGAGTAGTCATTATGATTTACCTTTGTTATCTGAGACATGGTTAAATATAGATTTTTCAAATGGTAAATGTAGGCTGTTATAAAGTTTTTGGCAAGGATTCTAGCCATTCAGCTGTTGTCCGACAACCAAAATAGTAATAAGTTGGAATATAGGTACCTTAATTATGTCATAAATGAAGAATTATCTCTTTCTTTTAGGCAAGTTGCAGACATTATAGCAGCTGTTAAGAATGAACCAGTTGAGGAATTATGTGATCGCATTTTTGAAAACACCAAAAAGTTATTTTTCAACAAAAACTAAAACAAAGTGTAATAAAAAAGTTTAATTCAACAACATAATGTATTACTTTCAATAACAATATGCATGCGTTCCTAAAATAAACGGAAATAAATTATTATTTTCTTACAGTAAAAAAATGCAGTTTAATTTCACACAATATCCAAGAATAATCCGAATAAAACACTGTATATTCATATTATAAATAGAAATAATAGAAAACAGAATAAAGAAATTAGAAAAAACCTAAAAAATTAACCAACAAGTTATTTGATGCTAGTCTGAACTTTTTGGTACACCCAATGGTAGTATTCGATGGCTTTCTCTGAAGTTGTGTTGTAAGCTCCTACAACTACTCGTTGAATGTTTTCAGGTGACAGTTGACCTCTGAAAAAAAAATAAAAAAATAGTAAGTATATTTTTCAATGAGCATATTATAATGTAGGCTTTTAACAAAGACAAAGTTAATACTAAAGCCTAAGATCAAAATCAGAATCAAAATCTTTATTAACGTCCATGGCAATTACAAAAGTAAAATATCAATAATAAAAAACAATACAGGGTAAAAGGACAATAGAAAACAAAAACAATAAAAATAACCTACAAACATTGAAATTTGAAAGTTTCCAACCATTATTAACAGCTCTCGTCAGTTTACTCTTGAAAACACTAATGTTATCGACGAAATAGTCATTTCATTCTCGTCACACTCTCGAATCACATTATTTGCTCTCACACACATTCTATTGATAGGTGAATTGATAGTACATGAAATCCAACCGATGCAAAAAGATCTGGGGTATTCATTTGGATGTTGATTATCTTGTAAAGGGTTCATATTATATCATAAATAATTCTCCTATTTTCCAATGGTGTCAGATTTAATGAAGTCATAAGGTCAATTAGGTCATTATAGTTAATTTGTTCATATGGAAAGTTTTAGCTCCATTTTTAAAAACATTGACTTCTTCCAGACAGAGGGGAAAATGCCTGTATGAAGGGGCAGATTAAAAATTTTACATAGAATATCAGACAGCACACACAATTTTGTAATAAAGTTACTGGGATCCCACATCTGAACCAGCGCCTACATTTTTATTTCAAAGAGTCAATTTTATTAAAAACTTCAATGCAAGATATGCTCAAATCGCCCAGGTTAATAAATTTGTCACACACAATTCGCATCAAAAGATTAGACTCCATACTGTGAATATACAGCGGAGAAATGATCCTTGAACATTTCAGTAATCACCTGTGGATAATCTGTTTCATGATTATTGAAATACAAAGAACCACGCACAATTTACATTGAAAAGTGGTTTCGGTGAAATTGCTCGAATTTTTGATATGTTGTACCTCTAACCTTCTTGTTTGATTTTCCAAAAAAAAATAGGGGGGTTGATTGGATGGTTTCGCCCCTACAAGAAAATAAAGTCGAGCGAGCAAGCAGAATAAAAATAAAACCCGCATCATATTGCGATTACCTGCAAGGTAATAATTAGGTTGTACCGGTTATAGGTAATATAATAATAATTGATAAGGTAAATATAGGTGCCAGTATTTATTAAGATGTTGCCACTTCCTACTACGTATTCTTCAAATAACATCTTTGAGAAAAACTGTAAGTATATTTTTGAAAATATTTTTCTGGGGTTCCTCGAAGAGTCCCCCACGGCTCTACAACGTAGTGTAGAGAGCTTTTTCGCCATTTTGGATTCACCCAGTATAATATATAAGTTTGAACTAACTATCGCAAAACTGAACATAAAACTTCAAAAATATGAATTTCAAATATATAAGCCCCGACGCAGAATACGATAATGGTATGCTTTGCTAAACATATATTGACTAGTCTATGATAGTTGGAACATCATCATGGAGATTGTGGTGTCTATTTGCTGCATCACCAATATGTTCAAGTAGCTTAACTGAGGGATATTTTATATTATTTTCAAATCTTGAATATCCCAAAAACCAGAAGACACTGGCTACATATGCACAGGTTCCAACGGTTCTTGCTCCTGATTTGCTGGTGCAGTAATATCCAGTTATTTCATGGGCACATTCGATCCAGATCTGATGCTGAAGTCTTGACCATATTCCTAATCGAATAATGTTGGAAGATGGTTGAAAGGCCGATTTGTCACATCAATTTACAAATCGTCATTCCGTTGTCGTAAAAGCGTGTCTTGGATATATGATAGCGCTAGCTTTAACTGTTACGTTCCAACTGTAATGTCCCTAAGAAAGTCTAAAGTTAGACGTAGGAACTAGGAATGTGATTAGTCTCTATACTGACAAATCTACCATGCTTCCGAAGTAAATTCTCGTTTTCAATGTTAACTTTTAGCCTGTTTTCTTCTCTTGCTCATTGTAATAACATTTCAGCCTGTGCAATATCAGCTCCTCTCATAACAACTGGATCGTGATATTCATTGATAATCCGAGGGTGGCGAGACTAACACTAGATGACGATACAGTTTCTAGAGAGGCTTTCCCAGGGTGGTGGTACTTGCACTGGGGAGGGAGACTTGACTCCTAAGGGGTGTTCCTATGGTGGCGGTACTAACACTGGTTCAAGTATGTTTGTTGCTAGGCTTGGTCCGCTATTTATATGATTCCATTGCTGAATTGCAACAAACCTGCGGTCGAATGGGCAATTAAATTAATAAGGTCGAATACCGGGCCTTCCTTTCCTAAGTAGCTTGTTGACAATATTACTTACTTCCGAAAAAAAATTAAAAATTGACTTGAAATGGCAATAATCCAACGAGTTTTGCTGATAAGTCGATAAGTATTGGCTTCTCCGACCGACAGTTGTATCTCGCCGGCTCTGACATTATTGAGTAATTTATGGTCAATACCTTAGACCGCCATCAACGTTAAGCCGCGTACGGACTTTGCGAGGCTGCCTCGCGCCGCTGCCGCAGTGCGAGCGGCCTCGCACTACTTTTGAAGGGGTAGTAGAAGCTAAGCACGAGGCAACCCGAGCCGTCATTCAATGACTCGCTCTGAGGCAACAACAATGTCGCTCACAACCAGCAAACACGTACAAACTTGGGAAATGCCGCATTACCAGGCTTCTTTGAGCACGACCAGAAAACCGACGAAGCATGGCTCACCGCGAGGCTGCCTCTCAACGCGGCAGACAGTGAGTCGAGGCAGGTACTAATTTTCAAATCAAATCAAATCAAATCAAATCAAATCAAATCAATTTATTTGTGTTAATTTACACTCATGTGTTTACACTTGTCAATAAAAACTACTGTCTAATTCCAATTTACACATTAAAATAGTTTAAAAAGGTTTAAAACACAAGCTAAAAATTACATTAAAAAAAAAAAAAAAAAACAGGCTAAAATTTACATAAATTAAAATAAACATTTACCTTAACGAATTTTACAAACAAATTTCAAGAATAGAAACATTACATCAGGTTAAGATGGCACAATTACTATTATTATTACTTATACTATTTTTCACTGCAATTTACCATCCATCCAGCTAAGTGTGGAGTTGTTAAACTCTTGTATAGAATAAAAAGCCTTGGAAATCAAAAAGTCCTTTACTTTCTCCTTAAATTTAGACTTACTTAGATATTTCAGGGGATCAGGAAGCCGATTAAAAAATGTGACTGCATGGAACCCGGGTCCATTTTGGCACCTTTGTAACCGGTGAAAGATTGGTTGTAGGTGGTTTTTGTTTCGCGTGTTGTAGTTGTGAATGTCACTGTGGCAGGTATATCTGTCATGGTGGTCTTTAACATACATCAAATTTTGGAGAATATACTCACATGGCAGAGTCAGGATTCTGTTATTAATAAAGGCCTGTCTTACATCTTCCCTATAACCCAATCCCGCAACAATCCTCACAGCACGTCTCTGCATAGCAAAAACCCCCTGTGCACCACTAGAGTGGCCCCAAACGAGCAACGCGTAGCTGAGATGCGAGTGGAAGACAGCAAAGTAAGACTGTTTGAGAATTCTTGGAGACACGCACACCGACAAATTCCTTAAAACAAAAGTATTTCTACCTAGCTTCTTCGTAGTCATCTCAGTGTGAGCATCCCACAGTAATTTCTGGTCGAGAGCAACCCCAAGGAATACGACACTACCTGCCATCGGTTCTGTTCTTTTTAATGAGAAAATATAGTTTTGGGTTTTGGCTTCATTCAAGAAGAGTTTATTAGCTGAAAACCATTGCTTGGCTCTTGCCTGTGCCTCTCTAGACATGTCGGTTGCTGTCTGTATGTCGGTGTGTTTGACTTGTTCTGTTGTGTCATCTGCAAAATTGAAGATTTTTTCTGTTCTTGCTATGTTTGGCAGGTCGTTTATGTAAAGTAAGAACAAAATAGGCCCCAGGATCGAACCTTGGGGTACTCCCATTCTGACTTCATGCTTATAGGACATTATATTGTTAAAACTGACTGCTTGTTGACGTTTTGTTAAATATGATCTTATAAGATTTATGCTTTGAGGTGAAAAATGATAAAAAGGTAGTTTGTCAAGTAAAATGTCGTGAGAGACACAGTCAAAAGCCTTGCTCAGGTCGCAAAAGATGGAGACTGTGTGTTGTGAGTCTTCAAAACCCTCCATTATGTTTTCTACTAGTCTTAGGATTGCCAAAGTGGTGTTTTTGCCCCCTCTAAAACCAAACTGGTTTGGGCTCAATATTTCGTTAATTTCAAGATAGTTTGTTCTCTGGTTTGCAAGACATTTTTCAATGATTTTGGAAAGAACAGGCAAAAGAGAGATAGGCCTGTAGTTTCCAGGATCACTCGATTCACCCTTTTTATAAATAGGAGTCACCCTAGCTATTTTCATACAATCCGGAAAGGTACCCTCTCTTATGCAACAATTTATAAGCTTTGTAAGAGGAATAAGCAACTGGTTCTTGACACCCTTTATTAAGTTAATATTTAAGTTGTAAATATCTTTGCTTGTTTTATTTTTGAGCCTATCGATCACCCCTCGAACTTCACAGAATGTAACCTCCCTAAAAAAGAATTGCCCCCCTTTTATATTTAAATGTAGGTTTTGCAGACTTGCCAGAGGATTAATGTTTTCATTGGGTATTTTACTTTGCAATTCAACTGCTATATTTACAAAGTAATCGTTAAATTCCGAGGCTGTTATGCCAGTCTCGTCATTTACAAATTTTTGTGGTTTACCTCTCAGCTCATTTACTATCTCCCACATGCACCTGCTTGGATTAACTGCATTTTGGATTTTTCTATCATTGCAATGGACCTTTGAATTTTTTATAGCTTTTTTGTAATCTTTTCGGTAGCTTTGGATATAAGACTTAAGTTGGTCATTTGGGAAGTGCCTGTAGATGTCATTTAGACGGCGCAAGTGTTCCCGCATATTTCTCAAATCGTTATTAAA